AGAAAAGATTCCTTAAGCACCAAGTTCATTGAGTAATTGCCAATTAGCCTGATGTTCTTTATGAGCCCAGAAAACCGGTTCAAGATTTCACTTTTTCCAGGTTTAATCTCCTGTGGGTTGGACAGCTCATCCAAATGTGATTGTCCGTCATTACAACTGGAAATGATGCCTAGATTCTGTAGAAATGTTATGGAGACTGTCGGGAATTCAGGCAGGCATCTCTGATGTGGGGGTAACGGGGACACACGTCCTCACTTTCTGCAGACCTGCTGTATGCCCGCTCTGTCTCTCTTTCCATTGGTTTTCTCCACTGACATGTGAACTCGGATACACCACTCTGAATTGCAAGTAAATGACAAGGTACATTGCCAATGTCTCAGCTCAGTTCTACATTTTATTTAGTGAGAGAAAACATGTTATCTAACCGGAAACAGTAATGTTAATGACAACTATGATGATGACGACGGTGGTGATATTGTGGATAGATTCTTTTATTTGTTATTTCTTAGGGACATGTCCCTTGAGGAACACCTTCATTCATGCTTAATATCAGCACCATCCTGAACTTACAAAATCCCTTGGTATAAGAGATACAAATGTGCTCAAGAGAGGAAAATGTGCCTAAGTAACATTCTGATTTGTGAACCTAAATTCTGAGTGGTCTAACAATTGAGGTAGGATCAAGTAGCACAAACCTGACAAAGGATTATCCCATGCCTAGTTTTTAAACATTCTGCCTGATTTCATTGCAGGGGCTATTCTCTGAGAAAGAAAATGATCATGAATTTTTTGAAAACCCTCGTTAAAAATATGCTTTCAAGTTTTCCAGGGGAGAGTTTCTATTGAGCCCAGTCTCCTCTTCCAGCCTTTCCAGCATTGCAGCCTCTGTTCCCCCTATTTTCAGGTTGTTCAGTCACTGGTTGTGTAGAAGCACAACCTGCATTGTCTCATTTCTGAGCTCATCTGTCAATTTTTCCCCACACATCATTTTTTCTACAGAATAATCCCTGGCCTCCATTCCTTTCTACAATCACCTTCTGGGCCTGGTGCAGTGGCCTAGCGGCTAAAGTCCTCGCCTTGAACGCGCCAGGATCCCATATGGGTGCTGGTTCTAATCCCGGCAGCTCTACTTCCCGTCCAGCTCCCTGCTCGTGGCCTGGGAAAGCTTTGGGACCATGCACCCGCGTGGGAGACCCGGAAGAAGTTCCTGGCTCCCAGCTTTGGATTGGCACAGTACGGGCCATTGAGCTCATTTGGGGAGTGAATCATCGGACAGAAGATCTTCCCCTCTGTACCTCCTCCTCTCTGTATATCTGACTTTGTAATAAAAAATAAATCTTTAAAAAAAATCACCTTCTCACTTGACTCCACAGAACATAACTAATGACGATGGTGTGCGGCATTCAGCATGTTGTCAATTCCACATTGATGGTTATAACTAGAAAACGAACCTTCTGGGGGTGAGCATTGTATCTCTTGAAATTTGTGTACCCTCAGTATATTACAAACATTTAATAAGTAAAAGTTGTTGAACTAGCAGCGTTTGAATAATTAAAAGTCATTTTAGAAATGACTTCTTTTGAATGATTGAAATAACTATTGCCTGACTATTCTTTCAGCAGGCACCAGAATGTTCTATAAAGCACTCAACATTTTATTCCCCATCAAGCCAGAACAATTTAAGGCTGCAGCCCAGGGAAATGTCCCTTGATTGCTGTTTGCTTCCCAGAACAATTTTACTCTTAATGTGCTGGATTTCCAAAAGGGGTAGTTTGGCGGTTTCCTTTACTGTCCATTGAGATGGTGAGATTTTCTTCACAGCACAAGACAGTGTCGTTTCAGTGGGATGGAGGACCTCGGCTTTTGAACAGGAAGTCAGGTCCAATGTAAGTACAACCTACAGAAGTACATCATTTGAAGTAAAAAAATACCAAGTGGTACTGGAATCTCAGGGTACTCACATTTCTTTTTTCAGTTTCATTTTCTCTGTTTTTTTTTTTTCAAATGAACATAAAAATGACTGCCTTGTATGATAATGGCATAGGTTAGTATCAGTGTACATAAATGAATTATAGTAAGTGTTCAATAAGCGATTCAATGCATAATCTGTCAGTTTTACTCCTTTTATTGGCACAGCTTAGACCTCTCCCTTTTTTGCTTCCAAAGTGAATTCTTAAAACAAGGAACCTGTATAAAACCCTCTTTCTCACATAATCCCAAATGAACTCTGTAAGATTTTTTTTTAAATCCAAATGTTCACTTGAGATTTTTATCAAACACCCTTAGAATACCCACAAATACTCCTAGGTCATGATGAATGTTTGTAGGGAAGCATGTCATTTCCCCCAACATCTCCTTCCATGGAGTTTCAGTGTATATTTGGATACTACTGTTACTTTAAGTAACAGTAACTATTATTTTTGGTGGATGTCCTATGCATTGTAAGATATTTAAGCATTCTTCACCTCTATATATCACATGCTGATGTGTATTCTCCGGGGTATAAGAAGAACACAATTTACATGAAAAGAATAGTCTGATGCTCTTTTTTTCTGGAAAAGTCAAGAGACTTGTCAAGGGAAATAGAAGTATGTGCTGTCTAAGAATTATTTTTGTGGCTTGAATTGTTTTTGAATGGATGCATCCTTGTATGAATGCATGCCTGAATGTTTAATTGAAAAATCCATGGAAAGTGCCATTTCATATTTGATACCAAATGTATTCTTTCTATGTGTCAATCTATTCTCATTATACTATAATCTTCAATAAATCATATCACAGGCACAAATCTGTGGTGATGATGGTGGCTCATAGCATTAATGTACCTGACCCATGAGATATGATACTGTTGGTGCTATGTGTGAGCAACTCATCCTATTAGCAACAGTGATGTTGTAGAATATGATGTTTTCAGACTTTCCCCTGAAGATCAATAAAGCAAGCAAGCGTTTGTGCAAAGTGAGTGAAACAAGAAAACATATTTTAGAGAGATAGCCATAAAGCAGACTTCTCTACTTTTTCAGAAGTTAATTTTCTAAATGGGGGAAGGGGGTTTGATTCTGGCTTTGAATAGTCAGAATGCTACATAAATGATCCAACGTCTCCCCACACTGCAGCCATAGTTATGTTCTTAAATTTTTTTCTTACTAGTTTCATAGGAGAGTAATGATTACAATCCAATTAGCAGTGCTGGCCCAGTTCTGCCAGAAATGTGTGAACAAGGAACTCTTGAAACATGTAGATGCTTATGTGCTCCTGAGTTTGAATGCACAGAATCATAGCACTTGATACCTTAGACATCACCAGGTCTAACACATTCATTTCAGTGTTAGTTCTTCAAAGGTCAATCAGTAGGATCCCGTAACTTATTTTCCATTCTAAATCCATGACATTCTCTTCTCCTACAGGGAGTAGAAAAACCTTCCTTGTTCTTGATTAACCGATCACTAATTAAGTCATTAAAGTACACTAAAATTAGAACCAAACATGTTCATTTTTTTTCCTTAAAGATAAATAGAATTTAACTTTCATTTGCTCTTTGTTGAGCAACCGATTTTAATTAGAAAAAAGCCTACTGAATCTGTAGAAAAACGTGTAAACAAAGACAATTTCATCTATTATCAGTTTTTTTTTCCATGTGACAAAAACAAGTTTCTTTTTTTTAATAAGAAAAGAGAAAAAAAAAAAACTAAAAAAGCCTTTCCCTTCAGGCCATATATGAGAGACATAGAGTAAATGTTTGGAACAAAGAAAAATTATACAAATATCCAACAAAGTGAGAAGGAGGAATGTGGAGTCATTTACTTGAATAAAATATGTCAAAATAATAACGAACAGAGAACTATTAAATAGCATTATATATGCAAGATATTTTGAGGTTCCAAGTAATAGCAAATCAATGAGAATTGAAAATATAATATCATCAACAATGGATCAAGTTTAAAGGAAAATTAAAAATTTTGCTATACATGCCCACAATGGTTATTATGGTTTTGAAGAATTTAGGTTTTTAAAAACACGATGTTTAAAACCATTTAATAGTCTTTCATTTACCATTATTTTATTATTGAGGTTGAAATTTTAATGTTTAAAAAGACTTATTCCAGTTTTCTCCTATCACAAGTACGTAAAACACTATATTTTGGATTCAGAGATTTGGCTTTTGACCTATAGCAACCTAGTAAAATAGTGCTGGCAAAATCATCAGTCACTCTGCAAATATGTAATCGTGTGTTATTTCTGCAGGGGAAAACTCAACCCGTCATTTTTTACCAGATTTTAAAAAATAGCATGGGACCCATTTATCTCTTAGCTTGAGATGGCACTCCATTGGCAGGAACGATCAGGGAAGTACTTTTAAAATATTTTTCCAACAGCAGAGTAGCCAGGAATTGTTCCTGTTTGTTCAAAGTGTTCATAAATAAACAGTAAGAAATGATTTTTGACTATGAAGGACAGGTTGCCTACAGACAATAAAGTCGATGAAATGAGAATAAGGGTCCAGGAGGGTTTCAATATTGTTCCATTTTTCAAGCAGTAACAGCAGTACAGGAATCCTTCTGTGAACCATAGAAATAATAAATGCTGAGCCCATTGGAACATAATCTCAATCAGCAAGATGCCACTGCTTTCCAGATTTTCTCACAGGCTCTGCTAATTCCATGCCAAAACTAGTGGATTTCTTCCTTTTAATCTCCCCTAATGCCTTATTCGATTACTGTCACTGCTCTCTGACCACGCACTGTCCCTTCAGACTCTCATTTCCCAAATGAGTCAGTCAGAGGAGGTTGAATGACCACAGGATATAGTCTAAGACCAAAAGTCACTTTGTTTCACTTAAAAATAAAAAATTAAAAAAAAAGAAACAGAAGAAAGAAGAGGGTAAAGGGAACCTTCAAAGTTTCCGGGAAACTTCTTTATCTATTGGATTACAGACTGGAAGGAAATCAGGAGCAGGGGTATGAGGAATTTGGAAGATTTTGCTAGTTGATTGGCAAGGGAGAGCTTGCTGGGAGGGGAGGAAGAAGCTAGAGGGTTGAACTGGTCATTTCAGTGCACTGCAGGATGGCATCACCTCTGACCTGGCTGTGCATTCTTCTATGGTGAGTAAGATTTTTATTCTTTTTATCACATAGGAAAGGAAAACCTGTGTTTACTGGGAAGCTTCTGTATCAATCACTGAAGCATGTATTTGGAATAGGGTGGATTAGGATGGGTCCCTCACCTTACCCTCTTTGAGGCCCCGAGTGAGGACCACTGACTCTACTTACAGGCTGGGAAATGCCATTGGGAAGCTTGAAGATGAGGGCAACTTGTACTCAGAAAACATCAGTCGGATCCTGGACAGTCTGCTGGAAGGCTATGATAATCGATTGCGGCCAGGATTTGGAGGTGAGCAATTGCATTAATGCTGTGGCAAATGGCAGTGGTCTTATCTTACTTCCATTTAAGACTCAGGAACTATCAAGGTGATAGTTCTGTCAGAGTCACAGGTTTGAGGGCATTGAAGAGAGGCTGTGTACATTCCCATTCTGTTTTGGACTCTTCTTAATTAATGACCTCTCTCTGAGTTTCAGTATTCTCATTCTAGCATGAGTATATAAAATGTAGAAATAAATTCTCCCATTTAAAACATGTACATTAGTACTTGCTATTAAAGCTACTAATATGTGGTACTTATTATTAATCAGTTTTGTTAGAAAATTAAGTTTGTTTAATTCCCCAACGTTTCTTCAATTCGACTAGAATAAACTCAAAATAAGACAACTGCCATGACATTTGAAAGTTGAAAGAACTAAGCATGCCCCACACTGGAATCCCTTAAAACTGAAGATTGTGACTCTGACGAGGGGTTTAACAACAGAGTCTAGGATCAATGATAAATGTCCCATCTCCATGAACTAATTTCAGGTGCTGTCACAGAAGTCAAAACAGACATTTATGTGACCAGTTTTGGGCCTGTGTCAGATGTGGAAATGGTGAGTAAGCTCCGAATGAGTTGGGTACTTTTACATAGCAGAGCTGAGATCCATAGAAAATGATCATTTTCATTGCCTTCAAGGTTCTTGTTCCCAAATTCCTTAGGTAGTATGTGTGTTCAGGCTGAGTGGTCATGCCATTAGAGCAGCTTTCTGCCTTAATCTTCTTCATGTTGTACAAAGGGTCATGCTTAAACATTTCCAGCTGAGAGACTTTTTAGTATTAGCTACTGCCTTCCATCTGCAAATCACACATTAATTCTTTCCAATTAAAGAAAACATTTTCACTTTCCTCATGAAGTATTAGTAAATTTATTGGAATAAGAAAAATCAAAAATCATGAAGACCTTATGTCATGTAAGAATATATGGAAGATATCTATGCAGCCTGAAGCATGACTACCTTTTGCAAGTCACATCCTTATCAGAACATTTTATTAAAATACAAAGAAGTCATTTGGAAAGGTTGACGCATTTCACCTTTGCAATTTCGGATGGACCAGCAGGTGTTCCAGGAGCCCTGTTCCAGGTACAGATGGCTGTAGGATTCGTAAGAGGATATTTATAGTACGTGGCAATGAAAACCTGACCTGGTCTTCTACAACAAAGTGCACCCTGATGTTCTTTCCCTGTTTTGAGATAGCATTTATCACTCTACTAAATATCAATACTGTAAATATCTTTAAAGAGATGTGCAATTTCGTTTTATGAGGTGATGCAGTTCCGTGTAAGCAGTTATTGGAGAGTTTTTGTCCTCCTTTTGAATTGATGAGAAAGGAAGAGTACTAAAAGAAAGAAAAAGGAAAATATACCACAGGAAGAAAAGATGAAGGAATGATAGTAAAGAGGAAGATACACACAGAGAGAAAATGTTTTACGGAAGAAAAACTTCATATGGAGACAAAAGCAGTGTCAGCATTATTAAAAATCTCATACTCTTTCAATATTATGCTTTCCACTCAAACACTCCAAATAGAGAAAATCACAATCACTCTATGCCTAATTATTGAAGTATAGGTATACTTGGAATTTAATTTCATACATATGTCTCTGTTGAGATACATGTGTACATTATACATGGGTATACATGGGTATACATGGGTGCATTTACTATGTGTCAAATCACATTTTTAAAATAACCACTCATGTTGTAGTAAGCCTTGTCAAGGAATTCATATAGCAAGCAAAACAATTATTGGAAATATTTTTATTTTAATTGAAGGTTATTTGTCATTAAGTTTTATTTATTTAGTAGTTATCGTTTCTAAAATTTTAATGTTATTTTACAAACGCCACCTAGTAAAACCTACAATTGATTACTCATAATGAAATGACACTTTGTTTAGAGTAATCATACTTGCTTTTATATTCTCTGAGAACAACATCAGACAAATCAGACAAGTTAGTGAAGCCATCGTATGTCCATCAAAATAAGGTAGTTCAGTTTTTGGAACTTTACTGAAGAGCGTGGGGATGATCAGAGGCCTCTCTGAAATGACTTAGGGGCTAAATGGGATGGTTAGTCTGACTCATGGAGGCTGGTGAAGCCTTCGCTGTAAACAGTTAATAGGTTAACAATCAATTAGATAAACAACAAAGTGAGAAATCCAAGGGCCAGTTATAATGGAGTAGAGGGCTGGTAAAATATGGCAACAAGTTTTGACAATTTTACTAAAATTATGTTTCATAAAGAACCTTTATTGACTATAAAATCAGTTAATGATGATTGAGTTATTTGTTGCATCGAATGGAAGTTATTGTCATAAAAGTTCATTTTGCAATTGAGTGTCATAAACTAGCAAATACGTATTCTCATCCTACTGCAATTTGTTTGCATTTAGGAATATACAATGGATGTTTTCTTCCGCCAAACTTGGACTGATGAGAGATTGAAATTTGGGGGACCAACTGAGATTCTGAGTTTGAATAACTTGATGGTCAGTAAAATCTGGACACCTGACACTTTTTTCAGGAATGGCAAGAAGTCAATTGCTCACAACATGACAACCCCCAATAAACTCTTCAGAATAATGCAAAATGGAACCATTCTATACACTATGAGGTGAGGTTTCCCTGTTTCTCTTTCCTCTTCCTAAATGGTTCATCCATCATACTAACTCAGACCATTTATTTCAATGCCCCTAGGCTTACCATCAATGCTGACTGTCCCATGAGACTGGTTAACTTTCCAATGGATGGGCATGCTTGTCCACTCAAGTTTGGAAGTTGTAAGTTAATTAAAAATTTTTTTGAATTCAATAATGTATTCAAACTAAGAAACTATATGGTTTAAGTCACAGACTATTAATAAAGGAGAAAATATCACCATGATATCCATGATATTTTCAGTGTCATTCCAAAAATGCACTTATTTGGCTGTCAATATCATAAACTGAGGTTTCAGGCAATGAAATTGAGTGAAAATATTTGCTTTGAAATTATGATGTATTTCCTTGTTATACAGATAACAATTGCTTTGAATGAAAAAATACAACTACATTTAACTTGTTTTAAAACTTCAGATGCTTACCCTAAAAGTGAAATCATATATACGTGGAAAAAGGGGCCATTGTACTCTGTCGAAGTCCCAGAAGAATCATCTAGCCTCCTCCAGTACGATCTGATTGGACAAACAGTATCTAGCGAAACCATTAAATCTAATACAGGTAAGAATTAGACCTGAAAGATGACTTAAGTGCCTACTTTCAAAATTATCTATTTTTTACTTTGCGTTAGTCATTTTTAGCCAGGCTTCTTGCTTTGAAATGATGTATAGCTGTTCTCAAAATTTATTTTCCAGTCCGTGGTATACAAAGATTCATGTAATCTTGGCATAAGCAATTTTTTTGTGTGCAGTTGTGATACAAAAAATTGCACCAAACACTGTGAACTGGTGTGTGTCATTTGTTGTATAACCTGCTGATCAAGTAGCTTTCTCAGACACTGAAATACGCCTTCACTTGTTTTCTCTCAACCCCTGAAAACTTAAAGCCTCACAAGATTTACATTCAGCAGCATTATTTTTGCAGACTGGCAACAGGACTATTACTGATGTGCGTGTCTTCCAACAGGTGAATACGTAATAATGACAGTTTATTTCCACTTACAAAGGAAGATGGGCTACTTCATGATACAGATATACACTCCCTGTATTATGACAGTCATTCTGTCTCAGGTGTCCTTCTGGATTAACAAGGAGTCTGTCCCAGCAAGAACTGTCTTTGGTATGCCTAATGCTTTGTGTTCTGTTTCATTCAGCCTCTACCTCTTGTTGACTGTGTGATTTTGTGAAACTCCATATCAAGATACTTTTTCAACCCACAAAGGCGAAGATTTCTGTCTCACTAACTGCATGTATTATGTAAAATGACCTTCACCACAAGTTGTGTGGTGAATCAACAAAAAATGTATCTCAGCAAGAGCTCTAGACAGTTTCCTATGCCTTTCATGTGCTTGCTTTACAGTGCTTTTCTGAGATCTTTTAGCTAAGAAAAAATAGAAATGCTAAAAAACTAACATGTAAATCCAAAAAAAAGCTGATATTGAACATATATATATATACACTTACTGGTTTTATTTTAGGTTAAACCATTTAGTTTCCAACCTCAACATTTAATTCTATTTTGTTTTATACCAGTAGGTGGTTTTGTTTTTGTTTTACTTGAGAGACAAGAAATTAGTGATAGACTGACAGACTCCTGTTTTCTGGTTCATTCTCCAAATGTCTGCAAACATTACTCTTTGTGCCAGACAGAATTCTCAAATATGATCAAAGACACTAAAATCGATCAGAAATATGGATTATTCAATCACTTATAACAGTTAATTAAGTGAAACAATTATTTCATGAGAGACTGCAATGTGTAAGACACTGTCCCAACTACTGAATTACACAAATATGGTTCATCTCTATAATAAAATTAGGAATAAGTCTATTATAAGAAAAACTCATTGCTAGTATATAATTGGTAGTGTATATAATCTGTTCCAAACTTGTCCTCATTTGAACCTGTTATGTGACTCTCCATTTCTCATCTTTCTTCACTTTAGGAATCACCACTGTTCTAACCATGACAACCTTAAGCATCAGTGCTCGGCACTCCTTGCCAAAAGTTTCATATGCAACAGCCATGGATTGGTTCATAGCTGTTTGTTTTGCTTTCGTGTTCTCTGCTCTAATCGAGTTTGCGGCTGTCAACTACTTCACCAATCTTCAGACGCAGAAGGCCAAAAGGAAAGCGCACATTGCAGCCTCCTCCCCGGTGACAATATCAAAAGCAACTGAACCTTTGGAAGCTGAGATTGTTGTGGTAATTGGCTTTTTTCTAATGTTTTCTACCACATAAAAAGACATCCTAAACAGTGATTGCAAACAAGAGTTCAGACGTAGTATTAGCCGAGCACAAGTTATGTAACTGTTAAGAACAAGAGCAGTTTCTCTTCTAACTTCACAGAGAAAAGTTAAGGAACCACCCTTCATTTCTCTTTGCTCTAAACTTTTGGAATTCTTCCATTATTCTCACATATACTGTCAGTTTCCAGGCTCTCAAGAGAGACTAAAAACACTGTTCTTAGCCTGTAGATGTTTCCTTTGAACAGGTTCACTTACAGCAGCAAGAGAGAAAAAAGACAAAAAAAAAAAAAAAAAAAGAACCCTAATGAGCTCTTCAGAGTCGATGGGAAAGGATCAGGGACTTGTAGAGAATGGACAATTTTGTCAGAAAACTGCTGGCTTCTGAATTTCACAAGGACATGACATGAATTATAGGTACTCATAAAACAAAGTTATTATGAAAGTGTTTGATTCTTACTAAAGCATTAATACAAGTAACTATGCACTGTGAATCCGTATGTATCAATGAGTTTATAGTGAAGAAAGATACAATCAGCGAAAAGTACTTATAACTTTACATTACATTAGCTGTGCTGTGGCTATGCTTTGGTCCCAAAATTTATAAATTAAGTAATTTTTTTAGTTATTATTTTCAATGATATAGCTTTCTGCCTCCCCTTTCTTCCTCGCCTTTGTTCCCCGCCACATACTATTTCCCCTCTGATTATCATAGCAAGTTAGTCCTTAGCAACAATCAAAAGCCCAACATTCTGCTATTGAAGTGTATGATGGCACTGCAAATATAGGCAATGGGAGAAAATCTAGTATATTTCCAAGGTATACATATCCAGGATTTTGACGTCTCTTAATATTAGCGCATCCAAGAGTCCTTTTATCTTCATCCTTCGCAACTTTGCTTAAGGAATGGGGACTCCAAGAGGTATCAAAATGGTAGAAAATTCCCCAAGTGGTGGCTACCTTCTTAGTTACTTTATAGATAATGGAAGGGCCAGTGTCTTTCTGGGGGATAACTGGGGGGGCGGGGACTACAAGATGGGATTATTTCTTTGAGTGAAGGCACTTCTTATGCTTTTCCCGTTTGCATCAGAAAGCCTTCCATCCATCTTGTGAAAATATCAAAGAAAACTAATAAGTATTTGAGACTATTTGCTCAGAGGATGTTAGTGAAGTCTTCCTGCCACATGCACTTGGTAGGTTTCTGTTCTTTGTCTGGGATTAAGTAAGGGAGGTGATTTTGTGTGGCCACTAGGTTATATTACAAGTGGAGGAGAGAAGGCTAGGTTACTTCCTCTTACAACTGTGTGCAGTCATTTTTCTCTAAATTCATGGACAAGTATCTGAATGAGGGCCTCATTTTTTGGAGACAGGTAGAGTCTTGCATTTATCTGACTTTTTCCATAGACAGGTCATTGGAAACATGATTTTATGATTTTAAGTCCTCCTCCCATTGGAATCTCTAATGTAATCTCACTGTTGAGTCTCTTATATCTGAGCTATGATACAATGGAGACTTTGATCTGTCTCTAGAGGCTAGAGTATCACAGCCACCTCCAGACGATCCTCGTAGTGTTTCCTCTAATGTGACAACTCCATTTTTGGTGTTACCCATAAAGTACAGTTGTGACTTCTAGAGGCTCAAAAGCCAAAATCTATTAGCCAGATCCAATAGTAGAATTTCTCATAGTAGGGTCTTCTTTTCTCCAAATTGCCACGTGTGCAGGAAGCATAGAAAACGTATTTGGAGTCTGTGTAAATATTGAATCCTTAGCCTTTTCTGAGTTTTTAAAACTCTAGTCAAGGCAGAAAATTCATTATTTTATGTCTCAGTGTTAGATGGTGAAGTTTGAGTTTCTTCTACTTCAGTGCAAACTACTATGATCTATTTTGCCTATTAGCCTCCATTCTTCTCGAAACTACTGCTATCTGGGTTTTCCAGAACTATAAGGGTTTTCCACAAGTTCATTTGTAGACCAAATCTATCGGCATAGACCTGTTCTATGGTCTGCACCCAATAGTGAACTATCTTTCCAGTATCATCAGATGGCAGAAGATCAGCTGTATTAAGGACTTGGCACTGGAGATTCTGAAATGAGCCTGATACTTAATAAATCTTCCTCCTATTACCCACTGACTTAAAGTCTGAAACTCCTCCACTGATGTGAAATATGAATGGTAAGGAACTGCTTAAAGTTAATGTGGTGAATTCAAATATTCTCAAATACCCAGGCCATCCTGTGGCCCCTGAGTCTGGTTGTTTGGAAAAGTAGGCTCCTGGTTATGAGAGGATGATCAATTTCTGGATGGGTACTTCAAGTACTATCCCTTGCCTTTCAGCATATTGCTTATACTACTGTTAAGCCACCAGGGCGAGAGCATGAGTTGGGGCTATAGTTCTCCTCCAGGATCCAACAAGTGCACAGGACAACGGTGTGGGTCTCCACAGTCCAACTAAAAGGCCGGAATTAAGAACATGACATTCCTCTGTGAATCTGAGAGGATTTTCTGAAAGTGTCCTAGATTCTGGAAACATTTTTCATGTTCAACACAGAGAGGAAGACCTGTTCTTATTGACTGTTATTGTTTAAATTACTCACTTCCCTCAGATGACAAAAGATATTTGTACCTGGATGGTAGGAGGCAGGTCTTAGTGTGAGTACTCCTAGGCGGTACTCTAACAGAGGGATATGCTGGGCTCTAGGAGGAGGCCATGGATGAGGAGATACAAGAGGACAAGGGCTTGAGGCAGAGAGGTGGGGGGCATAGCACCCACTATGAATGGTTCTAACATTGGAGCAAGTCGAGGGTGTTGACTCATGAATAGTATAGTTTCTATCAATAGCAGATCATCTACCGTATCTGTTGCTCTTCCATAACTCATCTCTGTGAGAATAGAGGTATATTAGAGCCTGTTGCTCTTTCTTTTTTTTTTTTTTTAAAGATTTATTTTTATTATTTTTTTCATTGGAAAGGCGGATATACAGAGAGGAGAGACAGAGAGGAAGATCTTCCATCCGATGATTCACTCCCCAAGTGTGCGCAACGGGCCGATACTATGCCGATCCGAAGCCAGGAGCCTCTTCCGAGTCTCCCACGCGGGTGCAGGTTCCCAAAGCTTTGGGCCGTCCTCGACTGCTTTCCCAGGCCACAAGCAGGGAGCTGGAAAGGAAGCAGGGCTGCCGGGATTAGAACCGGCGCCCATATGGGATCCCGGGCGTGCAAGGCGAGGACTTAACCACTTGCGCCACCGCGCCGGGCCCCTGTTGCTCTTTCTAAGGGTTGAGTTTTCAATTAGTGCCATGAAGTCCTGAATGTAAGAATATTTTGACCATTTTCATTATCTCTGAGAGAAAAGAACAATTTGAAGGTAATATTATATTAAAGTTGATTATATTAAAATATGCTATTTGGAGGACACGTTTATGCATTGGTAAAGGTGCTGCAACAAAAAATAAACTTCTTCAGGATATCCAGTTCAAGGATATCCCAATATTTAAAGAGGAAACCAATGACAGAGTTCAAGGAGATGGATGGGAAGTTGGCCATCATTTAAAAGATCTCTCTATGACCTAGGAGAGAAAAGGAAGACAGGGCAAAGACTGGGCCATAATTTTGTGAAAGTCCTGTCATCGGACTGGTCTGGATCTTGCACCCCAGAATCTCAATGGTGTCCTTTAGCACCTTTACCTGAAGAACCCCTTTGTGAGCTGATTTGGATCTGGGGTCAGATATCTCATATATGATGCATGGTATTCCAGCATCCTTGGAAACCATTGTTTTTCCAGGCATCTGTGCCCACTGGGACTTTCAATGAGCTGAAGAGGGATTTGTAAGTGGTTGGACATGGGAGATTTTAGACCTCAGCTTTCACATATTAGCAAGGTGGAAGACTCCTTTGTGCTTCAGTTACAGCCCCATATGATTGCCAAAGTAATACTGAAAATTATAAATTTTGAGATTATTATAACTTTACCAATTACAAAGGGAAGGTAGAAGAGATTCCTTTACGAGAAAACAGAGGGAGTTTCTATTGAACTAGTCCTTCTAATAATCATCCTAGGACCAGGACCCTTGCTCTTTACATTGCCATAGGAGTAAAACATTGTTAACACATAGTAAACAGAACAGAATGCCTAAATAATGGAGTAAGGTAGTATCAGGATCATGTAGGAGTTGGAGAAAGAAATGTAAGGGTGACCATATACCAAATGGTTCTCCACAGAGACTGCGTGGGTGTTCAGGGGGTTAGAAGATGCCGTAATTCATATGCCATATTTATATAGATATTTGCTGCACAAGTACCAAACACCTCATCAATAAAGGTGACAAAATATGCAATGGGCCCTTATAGTAAAGGAGCAGAAATCTGGAGGTTTTGAAGGCATAGAAGGATTAGGAAAGATAAGTTCATATCCAGAGGACAAGGGGTACAAGAGATTCCTCCAGATACCGCATGACGCAGAAGGAAGTCCCAGTTACTTTTGTAAAGTCTTTTTCATAAAGAACTCTGAAATATCTTATCTGCCTGGTATTGCCCTTGGCTTTCACATTTAACAGTTGCTGAAGAGAGTAGACATGGCTGGAATAAGGGCAGTTGATTCATGGTTGGTTAGGACAGTACAAAGGAGAGAAAGGTATAACAAAATGAGGACTTCTAAGCATAACTGTCAAAAGTTGGAGGAAAAACTCACTAGCCCATGTCTAGGTAGGTCATCACCTCTTGCTTCTTCCCCGTGGGCTTGCTAGTTACAGTGTGGTGGTTGGGTCCAGGTTCTTATGATGACTCAAGAATAGAACATAAGAACGAGAGAGGTGGAAGCCATTGGAGAAGCAACATTTATTTGCATACAAAGTGAAAGTGCACTCCAAGAGAAGATTACAGAATGCTAAAATGATAGCTATACTTGTGCAAACTTCACCCCTTTCTATGAACTGAAAGCTTGCAGGTTACTGTCTGGA